ATGCACTGAATCCGGTAAGAACGCATTTAATCTCTCTAGTCTTTCCTAATGGAATGTATGTGCTTATTTGGAAATGTGTTTTTTAGCGATTGGATTATTATTTTCACTTAATTATTTAGATTGAATAGACCCGTGCTGTTAAAATGAGTTTTATATTATTAGTGAGGTTCACAGCACCGTCATTAACATTTTTATAAAGCCTATTAGCAATTTAAAGCATATCACTGCAAAAAGACATCTAATATAAAATCTATAGGCTATTTATTCACCTATAGAATAATAATAGCAAGTTCTCTCCGTGTCCCGCAAAATCAGGTCTGCTGATATAATCAAATATAATTGTAGTTGTAACTCAATGTTTACAGAAGGCATAATTCTCATTGCGTATGCAGCATGAGACCAAGACAATCTTCTGTTCGTGCATGAACAGTTGTATTTCATTCATTAATCTGACTTTGCATCCGTGCATTTAATTGCCATTTGCTCATGTGATAGTAATATATATCTTAGTAGTATTTTAAATGATATAATTGATTCTATAAACAACTATAAGAGATCATTTTCGTCTTTCTCCGGCTCCCTGCACCGGGCGTAAAGCGAAACCGGAAGTGTCTAACCGCACACTCGCTGATCAAAAATCCAAAATGGCGGCCACGTGCAACTAGCCTATTAAAACTCAGTCGAATCAATATTTTGTGTACAGTTATTTAATTATGCCATCCAGTATCATGGACTCGCTCTCTTGTTTTCATTCAAACGCAGCGACGGCCATTTTGTGACTATTGTTTTGTTCAATTTTAAAACAGTTTAATCTGAAATTAATATCTCATATCTTCAAAATGATTTATGTTGAAATGCTGTGTGATAAGTGATATGAATGACTGTATACCGTATCTCTTAAATGTTCGTCTAGTTTGAACTCGCCGCTGAAACTGCTCTCTCAGAAGCTTTGCATTTATAGACCTAATAAAATATTTAGACTCAGATCAATATTTCGTGTCTAATTATTTACTGATGTGGCAAGTAGCCGTGTAATAAGCATGATAATGTACATCCAGCCGGTTGTTATCTCAGAATAAACCCCTTCAGGAGTGTGTGAGTGTGTGTGTGTGTGTGTGTGTGTGTGTGTTATCTCAGAATAAACCCCTTCAGGAGTGTGTGAGTGTGTGTGTGTGTGTGTGTTATATCAGAATAAACCCCTTCAGGAGTGTGTGAGTGTGTGTGTGTGTGTGTGTTATCTCAGAATAAACCCCTTTAGGAGTGTGTGAGTGTGTGTGTGTGTGTGTGTGTGTTATCTCAGAATAAACCCCTTCAGGAGTGTGTGAGTGAGTGTGTGTGTGTGTGTGTGTGTGTTATCTCAGAATAAACCCCTTCAGGAGTGTGTGAGTGTGTGTGTGTGTGTGTGTGTGTTATATCAGAATAAACCCCTTCAGGAGTGTGTGAGTGTGTGTGTGTGTGTGTGTTATCTCAGAATAAACCCCTTTAGGAGTGTGTGAGTGTGTGTGTGTGTGTGTGTGTGTGTGTGTTATCTCAGAATTAACCCCTTCAGGAGTGTGTGAGTGTGTGTGTGTGTGTGTGTGTGTTTGTGTTATCTCAGAATAAAGCCCTTCAGGTGTGTGTGTGTGTGTGTTATCTCAGAATAAACCCCTTCAGGTTTGTGTGTGTGTGTGTGTGTGTGTGTGTGTGTGTGTGTGTGTGTGTGTGTGTGTTATCTCAGAATAAACCACTTCCGGTGTGTGTGAGTGTGTGTGTGTGTGTGTGTGTTATCTCAGAATAAACCCCTTCAGGTGTGCTTTAACACAAACCATGTGTAAGTTCATAAGTCGACAGCATTGCTGAGTATTTCCTGCTTAAAACTGCAGTGAACCAAAGACAGTCTCAAAAACACGGTTTGAAATCGCTGGTGTTTCTGACGTCACAAACGACCTTGTAACCAATCAGATCAACGTGTGATCGTCAACCAGTGGATCTCTGAGCTGAGGGAGTGAGTGGAGGCGGGGCTCATCTGCATATTCATAGAACCGCGCATACTAAATGAGGCAAGGGTGTCGAGTTACATTCAAGCTATTTTAAGACTTTTTTTCAAGATAAAAAGGTTTAAATCTGTCATTTTGGTGATCAAAGATGAGTTTTAAAGGGATACAATTATTAACTACAGGAGGACTTTAATGTCAACCAGCAGGAAATGGAATTTATGGTTTTAGTCCAGTTTCAGTTCACTATAATAACCCTTGTTCTGAGTGAATCAGTGGGACGTTCTTCATGTTCTTGATGTGAATGTGAGCCCGAAGGCATCGAGGTGCCAGTTCTGTAGTGAGAGATCAAGCCGTTCATCTGTTGATCTCTGTGGTCGGCAAACATTCGGGAGTTTTGCAAAACAGAAAATGGAAAGAGAGTTTGATGCCTGCAAAAATAAAGCTGCACATGCAGATGCACGTGTGGTTTCAGCGCCACATGCTTCTGTCACTGCACTTGTTCTGTTTAACATGCACTAATGTTTTAATCTGAAAAGTTAAATCACATGATCTAAGTAAAAATTAATGGTTGTTCATTAATATGACTGACTAAGTGACTATTAACTATTGGCCGATTGCAGAATAATCACAGTCACTGTACGATGTGATTGATTGACGCATCCGCAGCCGTTCTTAATGAAAGGTTTTGTTAATTTTATTTATCTTTACTACTGTAGATACATTAGATACAAAGATTTGAAGTCGGCAAGATTTTTAAGGCCTGGGACACACTGGCTGCGTGGCGGCTGCGTCACGTTTTCTGTGTCTTTGCACTCCAGAAGTGTTGCTGCTAGCTGACGTACAGGGAGGACGTATTGTGGAATCCCTATACTTCATGTTAAAGTAACACCAGGGAACTTTTGCTCTCGGGGTGGGGTCCCCCTACAGTTGGGAAACAGTATTGTCCTCTAGACCTCTACTACTGTCGTAAACTCAATTGTTGACAACCACGATAGCCCTGAACACTGTAGGAGGGTCACATGCAGGTGTTCTGCTTGCGTCTTGTCTGAAATGTCTTCACCCCAGGTACAGTGGCATATATGTCATATAAATATAATTTCATGGGTTTTATTTTTTTCTAACGACAAATGATCGCGATGATCACGTTTACAAGCCAGCGTCATTATAGTAGCCTAGTCTATTGGTTACCGTTTTACTGGATCTATATGATACTTCAATGCAATGTTTGAGTGGTTGATAATAACCATATATCGTCAATATTATAATATCAAGCTACCATAAATGAATCTGCAAATTTTACAAATCGATTTGCATTATAGCTTGAGGCAAGACGAATAAACAAATATCACAGACATGTTAGGTATCCTAAAATATGATTTTGTACATCTTATATATTTACTTGCAAGAATGTAGCCCCGACCAAACTTGTGCACGCCGTTTAGACATAGGCTTTCATTTTTTTTTTTTTTTTTTTTTTTTTTGCCAAGTCCGCATCGGTCGGGCACCCCTCCTCCTCCTCCAGCTCACGCCAGCGAGAAAATGCTGGCCCAATGTTGATCCTCGTTCTGCCTTTAACGCGATCACTTTCTCTTTTTCTCTTTTTGCTTTGCTCCGATAAAACCTTTGCTTTCTTGTTTTTCTGTGCTGCTTCGGCCATGACTATAACATTTGGCTCGCACGTCCGATTTTAAGGAAGTGGGGGTGGTGGTGGAAGTGACGTATATGCCGCAAAGCAGTCGAATTTTGTAGTTCTCTTTGTTCGCCGGTTACTACCTGAAACCCGAAGTTTAAAAGTACGATTAAAAACGCTACTGACCCCGTCAGGCTATGGCAGACGTGTCATTCAACCTATTGTAAGTCGATGTACCATCACAAGAGACTTGGAAATATATTATGAAGGCTGAAAAGTTACCTGTTGTTACTTTAAGCATAAATATATAAAGCCTACTGATAAAGACACTGTCAGCAGTATTGACAGCAAAATAGACTACATAATATTTCGTTCTGGTGCAATATTTGAAAATTAATCATTATTTATTTTTACATTAAATGTATATCTGAATTTATGTCAAAACCTAGACTTTCAACCATCAAAATGTAATTTATTAATATTTATCCGTGTACAAAATAACATATAAACACATTTTCCTGGAAACGCTTCCAACACGCTTGCGCGTCGCGTGAAAAATAGGCGTCGGTTTTATTTCTAGCATGCACACGTTTTCCGCGCGGCTCGAGCCGTATCACGCAGGCAGTGTGCAAGCTCTAACCTGTTAACATGGGAGCCGAAATAAAAACGGACACGCCACGCAGCCAGTGTGTCCCAGGCCTAAGAGGCTCTTCTGCTCAAGGCTGCATTTATTTGATCAAAAATACAGTAAAACAGTGAAATATTATTCTAATGTAAATCATCTGTTTTCTATGTGAATATACAGTAAAGTGTAATTTATTCCTGTGATCAAAGCTAAATTTTCAGCATCATTACTCCAGTCTTCAGTGTCACATGATCCTTCAGAAATCACTCTAATATGAGGATCTGATGATCAAGAGACATTTATGATTATTATCAGTGTTGAAATCAGTCGTGCTGATTAATGTTTTGTGGAAACGGTGATGCATTTTCTTTCTCAGGATTTTTTGATAAATAGAACAGAATTTATTTGAAACAGAAATCTTGTATAACATTATAAATGTGTGTGTGTGTGTGTGTGTGTGTGTGTCAGAGAGTGTGTGTGTGTGTGTGTGAGTGTGTGTGAGAGAGTGTCTGTGTGTGTGAGAGTGAGAGTGTGTGTGTGTGTGTGTGTGTGTGTGTGTGTGAGAGTGATTGTGTGTGCGTGTGTGTGAGTGTGTGTGTGTGTGTGTGTGAGCGAGTGTCTGTGAGAGTGAGAGTGTGTGTGTGTGTAATTTTCCATTTTTGTGATTTCCATTTTTTTCATTACGTGTTTTGTTTTTATTTTAAAAATGATTTATTTAGTTTTAATTGGCGTGTGTGTGCTATAACGCTGTCTGTCGTCTCTCCCGCAGGACAACGGCTCGGAGACTCACCGCATCGCTCCGTCTCCCGTCGTCCACGTTCGGGGGTTGTGTGAGTCTGTGGTGGAGGCTGATCTGGTCGAGTCCTTGGAGAAGTTCGGAAACATCTGGTAAAATTATGGTTTAATTCTCATGTTCCAGTAGTGCAGGGCTGTATACTGGTTCATACCGAATACCGGTGTTTATTTTTGTTATAATCGGATTGACGGCTCAATCGGACTAAAAAACCTTCATGTAAACTCCTTAATCGATCAGGGGTGTGTTTCCCGAAACCCAACTATAGTTGCAAGTTCTGTCGTTATCAGCAGTTCAACGAGTCGTGTTCCCCGAAAACATCGTTATAATGAACATTCGCAAACAGCATCGCAGAGGTGTGTGTGTGTGTGAGCGACAGATCTCGAGCTGCGGTTAGAAGAAGAGTTTCTTGTTTTTATGATGTGGACTCAATAACTCCTGATCTCGAGCAAAATAAGCAAACTAACATTCAGTGCAATCTGTGTCTTTTATTTAGAATACATACAAATGTCATTTACGTCTTTTAGTTTGTCAAGAGTTGTTTAGCGATCGTTTCGCTAGATAAGACCCTTATTCGTCGTCTGGTATCGTTTAAAGCCCTTTGAAGCCCTTCTCACATTTGCGAGATATAAAGTCAGAATTACGTTATATAAAGTCAGAATTGCGAGATATAAAGTCAGAATTGCGAGATATAAAGTCAGAATTCCGAGATATAAAGTCACAATTGCGAGATATAAAGTCAGAATTGCGAGATATAAAGTCACAATTGCGAGAAATAAAGTCAGAATTGCGTGATATAAAGTCAGAATTGCGAGATATAAAGTCAGAATTGCGTGATATAAAGTCAGAATTGCGTGATATAAAGTCAGAATTGCGTGATATAAAGTCAGAATTGCGTGATATAAAGTCACAATTGCGAGATATAAAGTCGGAATTGCGTGATATAAAGTCGGAATTGCGTGATATAAAGTCAGAATTGCGAGATATAAAGTCAGAATTGCGAGATATAAAGTCAGAATTGCGAGATATAAAATCAGAATTGATTGATATAAAGTCGCAATTGTGCGACTTTATATCAATCAATTCTGACTTTATATCTCGCAATTGCGACTTTATATCAATCAATTCTGATTTTATATCTCGCAATTCTGACTTTATTTCTCGCAATTCTGATGTTATATCTCACAATTCTGACTTAATATCTCGCAATTCTGACTTTATATCTCGCAATTCTGACTTTATATCTCGCAATTCTGACTTTATATCTCGCAATTCTGACTTTATATTACGCAATTCTGACTTTATATCACGCAATTCTGACTTTATTTCTCGCAATTGTGACTTTATATCTCGCAATTGTGACTTTATATCTCGGAATTCTGACTTTATATCTCGCAATTCTGACTTTATATCTCGCAATTCTGACTTTCTATCACGCAATTCTGACTTTATATCTCGCAATTGCGACTTTATATCAATCAATTCTGACTTTCTATCACGCAATTCTGACTTTATATCTCGCAATTGCGACTTTATATCAATCAATTCTGACTTTATATCACGCAATTCTGACTTTATTTCTCGCAATTCTGACTTTATATCTTGCAATTGTGACTTTATATCTCGCAATTCTGACTTTATATCAATCAATTCTGACTTTATATCTCGCAATTGTGACTTTATATCTCGGAATTCTGACTTTATATCTCGCAATTCTGACTTTATATCAATCAATTCTGACTTTATATCAATCAATTCTGACTTTATATCACGCAATTCTGACTTTATTTCTCGCAATTCTGACTTTATATCTCGCAATTGTGACTTTATATCTCGGAATTCTGACTTTATATCTCGCAATTCTGACTTTATATCTCGCAATTGCGACTTTATATCAATCAATTCTGACTTTATATCACGCAATTCTGACTTTATTTCTCGCAATTCTGACTTTATATCTCGCAATTGTGACTTTATATCTCGGAATTCTGACTTTATATCTCGCAATTCTGACTTTATATCTCGCAATTCTGACTTTATATCACGCAATTCTGACTTTATATCTCGCAATTCTGACTTTATATCTCGCAATTGTGAAATAAAAGTCGCAATTATTATTATTTTGTTTTTATTCAGTGGCGGAAACAAGCTTCCATAGTGGTTGGCTTTGGCATCGTTGAATAAACATGCGCACTGCACGTTTCACAGCCGAAACATGTTTTTATGTTTTTATATGAATGTTTCTGAAGGGAACGGACTGTCTTTAGAAAAGTTTCGATGTTATTTTCATTTAATCTTTCTTTATCTTTCCTGGTAAAGCAGCGTTTATGAGCGCAGCGCCTCCTGCTGGACCTCTGTGTAAACAGCATCATTTTACAGGCCTTACAAACCTGTATTACAGTTTTTCTCAATTGCTAAAACACTAAAACCCATTGGCTGAACAAAGTTCTCAGTTGCCTGAACTCATTTAGCTAATTGTGCAGTCTGTTGTCAATACCTTAAACTATTTCACATGGCAAAACACAATTTGCAGATCTTACTTAGACTTTTCAGCAAAACGCTAAACACATTCTCATTCTCAAAACATATTCTGCACTGTAAGGCACACGTCATCCATACTGGTAAACACAAGTGGCAATGATCAAATACAAATAGAGAACAAATGTCATTGATTGAACACAACCACTCAAAATTGATTTAACCTGTTTCAAATGATGCCCAAAGACAAGAAGAAGCACACTGATCACGTTTACTCCTTTGATTTTTGTCCCTTTTAGTATTGTATACTGTAGTACAGTGCATTGTAGGCTGTATACTGTACAATGAACAAATTATATGGCCCCGAACATCGTTACTGTAACAGTACCATTTGTTACAGTACTGAATGCTCAATAGATTTTACTGGTTGCACTTGCAGGTTCATATCAACAAAGAACAAGAATTACAGTATCAAACAATAGAACTGACAAATGAGACGTTTGTGAGATGCAGGGCACTGTACTGTAAAAATAGGGGTACAAGGAGGAAGGAACAAATAAAATTGCAAAGAGCAAAGCAGAGTAGTAATTTCTGATCAATTTTGCGCTACTATGATGTTTTCATTCATCAAAAGACAATGACGGACAAATATGAAATTTGTTTTAAGATTAAAAATGTACTTCTCCCTGAAATTTTGATGGTACAGTAATGTGTCACGGGTAAGTCTACAAACAGAATAGCCGTCCATAGATATCTTTCGAGAACTGTATGTTTTGAACAATGTGTTTTCTATTTTTTGGTGTATTGTTTACTGACTGCTTGATAGTGTATATCATTTTGATCACTTTGTCTATGATTTGAGAGCAGTGTTTGATTTTGAACACAAGTAAAACTGTTTTGAGGCGAAAGTTTCATTTTGCAAGAAGAGTCAGAGGTTTTGTAAATAGTGCTTGAAGATGAGGTTTTGTGTTTAATGTTTTCAGAAAAAGGAGCAAGGATTCAGAAATTGTGTTTTAGCAATTGAGAAAAACTGTAATACTAGTGTGGGGTTCACTACAATATTCACTCATGACAGTAAAATAGGGCATTCTGGGTCAATCTACTGCAGTATGTACTCTCACTCAGGAGAAATGTGGTTTACACCAGTGTTGGGCATGTTACTTAAAAAAAGTAATTAGTTATAGTTGCTTGTTACTTCTCACAAATAGTAACTGAATTAAATCATTATAAAATAAATTTTTTAAATGTTCAAATATGCCATTGTCAAATAACTTGGATGCCCCCAATATTAAATATGTTAAATGAATGAAATGGACGCTATAGAATAAATTATTATTATAAAACATTGTACACTAATCTACACTATTTTGATGTTGCTGTGGGACAATGTGAGAGACACCTATTACATTCAATATATTATTTTAAATATGATCATTACTATAGTAGAACAATAAAACATAATAATAGATGGTTTAGAACTTTTAATATTTAAAATTGCACAGACCAACATATAAGTCTAAAAATAAATTACTCTTCTTAAGAAATGTACCAAAAATGAATAATAAAAAAAAAAAAACCTACTAGGATGAAAACCGCTTCATTGAGCTCAATTAGGCTTTAGTGACGCCACATTTTATTGTCAGTAACGGTAACGGCGTTGTAACGGGGGGAAACAGTCTTTCATTTGATTACTCGTTACTTAGAAAGATAACGCCGTTATTCCCATCACTGGTTTACACACAGTCATGCTTGAAAAAAATAATAATACCATCATGTAATTTTGAAAAATACAGTGATATGGATTTTTGGTTATACCGCCCAGTAGTATGTCCCAGATATTCATATTCATATTCATCACACAAATGAATTGTTTCAGCCATTATTCGATTAATGATCTTCCCTCGTTAACCAGTTCTGGGATCAGCTGGTTACATTTATTCACTCTGAGCGTCTGTTTCCTCTCGATGTTCATCACAATCATCCATTCATCAACGCAGATTCAGCTGTGCTTCAGGCGACTGAATTATGATGCTATAAACGAAGTTGACAGGCGTAGGCATTTATGGGAGCAACAGTTCCTGTGTTTGAGGCGTCTCTCCTTTCTGAATCACAATGAGCCTCTTTTCTAACGTCACAGAAGCTCACAGAGGATCACGGGAACGTCATTTCTATGATTTAATTCATTTTTATTTGGATTGTAGGATTTATTACACTTTTAATAAGCAGATGTGGGACATTAGCGTGTGTTTGATCTAGGGGTGTGCGATTTTTGACCAGAAAAAAAGATATCTCGATATTTTCTGGGATTTTCACGATAATTAGATGATATTTCAGGACTCTTCGTGTGATTGCTTAACTTTATTATATGATACAAAATACAATAGAGTGTTATTTTAATAGAGTAAATAACTGAAAACTGAAAAGGCTACTTGATAATGTCAGATCACACATCGTTAAAACAACAATTATAATATTATCGTAGACGATGTATATATTGCACATCCCTAGTTTGACCTGACCTACATTAGAAAAGACACGGATCAAATGAAGATGAACAGGAAGTCTCTGTCTCTCTCTATATATCTCTCTCTCTCTCTCTCTCTCTCTCTCTCTCTCTCTCTCTCTCTCTCTCTCTCTCTCTCTCTCTCTCTCTCTCTCTCTCTCTCCGGTCATAAATCAAGGTCATATGAGTGTATTTATAGTCACTTTGAGCATCTCATGACTGCAGAATGCTGTGATGTGCTCCTCCATCTACGACTGTTTTACACATCTCTGCAGATTTGAGTCCTCTGTAGACTTCTTGTTTGATGCAGTTAATAATATATAATAAAATAAACACTGCTGTATATTTGTCTAATGCACCGATCATTAGTGATGCAGCGAAGGGAGTTTTCTACTGAAGCCAAAATATAAATGTTTTTACTCCAGTTTGTTGTTAAAATGTAAATATTTAAACTGTGGCTGCAATAAAAACTAGTTTTCATGACTTTTATTCGAACATGCATACAATTAATAAAGACAACAGTTTAAGTAAAATTAACAAGTAAGTGACTAAGCAGTGCCAAAATGGCATTTATTGTTTGCATTTTGTGATAAATTGAGAGAATTTGAAAGCTGAGACTTTGTTTCATATCAAACGTATCAAAGCACAAAGCCTATTGTGAGTATTGGATGGATGGCGCTACAAATAGTGTTTAGTGGAACATTATTTATTAGTGAAACATTGAAATCTCTGCCCTTCAAAACCATGTTGGAAAAATATTTTTTTTTCTTCAGCCAAATATTTACAGTTGCGGAAATTTCTATGCATTGCTACATATTATAGATATTATTCAAAAGATATTATTCAGTTTCAAAGCATCTTCAGATCTTGTATGATGATGCCGAACCAGGGTTATTATCATAAAAATAAACTAAAACTAAATAGCAATACTGGAAAAAAATAAAGAAATAAAAAAATTAAATGACAAAAACACATAACGAAATGAATAAACATTAAACTAAATTTAACATAACTAAAAATGTAAAAAGAACAACTAATTTAAAAGCTAAACTAAAACTGAAATAAATATAAATGAAACCTAAATAAATATAATAAAGTGAAAAATAAAAAATAAAAATAAAATTAATTGAAATAATTAACTGAAACTGAAATAAAAATTAATTAAACCCAAATAGCAATACTGAAAAAAATAAAAATAATGAAATGACAAAAGCACATAACTAAATTAACAAAAATTTAACTAAAATAAATGTGAAAACTAAATACATAAAAATAGAAGAAACTAAAATAAAAATGAAATAAAAATAAATTAAACAAATAGCAATATATATATATATATATATATAAACTAATAAAATTAAAAAGCATAACAAAATGACAAAAAAAATTAACATGAAAGCTAAAAATAAAAAAAGAATAAAAAACTAAACTTATAGAAATATAAAAAACATAAACATAATAAAATTACAAAAGCACAACAAAATGACTAAAATTGCACTAAAATGAACATAAAAACTAAAGATAAAAACTAATAATAACAAAAAAAGTAACTCTGAAATAAAGATAAATTAATATTAAAAAAACAAAGGAATAAACAGGCATAATGAAATCTGAGACGCAGCTGTGCTGAAGGCCTCCTCCCCTGTCCCGCAGTTACGTGATGATGATGCCGTTCAAGCGCCAGGCTCTGGTGGAGTTCGAGGAGGCTCAGAGTGCCGACCGGTGTGTGTCGTGTGGCTCCCAGGAGCCCGTGTACATCGCGGGCCAGCAGGCCTTCTTCAACTACTCCACCAGCAAACGCATCACACGGCCCACCAACGCCGACGACCCCAACAGCGGCAACAAGGTCCTGCTGCTGTCCATCCAGAACCCGCTCTACCCCATCACTACGGTAAAACACTTATCACTGCGGTAAAACACTTATCACTACGGTAAAACACTTATCACTGCGGTAAAACACTTATCACTACGGTAAAACACTTACTGTTACGGTAAAACACTTCTCACTGCGGTAAAACACTTCTCACTACGGTAAAACACTTCTCACTACGGTAAAACACTTATCACTGCGGTAAAACCCTTCTCACTACGGTAAAACACTTACTGTTGCGGTAAAACACTTAACAGTAAGTAAAACACTTACTGTTACGGCAAAACACTTCTCACTACGGTAAAACACTTATCACTACGGCAAAACACTTATCACTACGGTAAAACACTTACTGTTACGGTAAAACACTTCTCACTGTGGTAAAACACTTCTCACTACGGTAAAACACTTATCACTGCGGTAAAACACTTCTCACTACGGTAAAACACTTCTCACCACGGTAAAACACTTATCACTACGGTAAAACACTTACTGTTACGGTAAAACACTTACTGTTACGGTAAAACACTTCTCACTACGGTAAAACACTAAAACACTTATCACTACGGTAAAACACTTACTGTTACGGTAAAACACTTCTCACTACGGTAAAACACTTATCACT